TGTGTTTATGTTTTGACAAAACTTTTTGAGCTGTGATCAAATGATGTGCAATCATAGAAACAACAAGAACAACTTACAGCTTGCATCATCGATCGCCACATACTAGAAAATCTTAGTTGCGGTCTACATATATGATAGTATTGCTAGTCTTTTTCAATTAAAAGTTACATGATAAAAAGCAATCAACCCAAAACAACGGCGTGTGTCCAAATTATTTATTTGGCAGAACATTTGTTGTATTTATTGCCCTTTATTTTAAACAAAAAAGAATGAATTTTTAAAACCATGCATTTTCTACGTAATTATTGATATTGATACTTTACTGTTTTAAGGGGAAAAAATATTTGGGATTAAGAGATAGTTATAGTATATTTTTCCCTTTATTGTATTGTAATAAAGTAAATTTTTTGAAAAACACTCTTTCTTTTTTGAAAAAAATAATCCACTTTATTGTATTGTAATAAAGTAAATTTTTTTCCCTATAGGGAGAAAGTAAAAAATAAAGATGTTGAAAGACACAATTGTCTACTATTCTTATTAAAAAGTTACTTATATAAAAGGGTGTTTAGGTCTTTTCAAATCATTTCATTATTTTACACAAGTTTTCACCGTATATAAAGTTAATCAAGTTCTTGAATCATTTCATTGTGTAAATTCAGTATCTCCACCTTACTAAATACTCCCTTCGGTCCTTAATATAAATCATTTTGATTTGTCCTAAGTTTCATCTAATATGCATTTTAATTAACAAAAAAATCTTTAAAATATATATTTTTATATTCGTTGTGTTCTCTTGATTGTTATAAAATATTTTTAAGGGTGTTTTTGTTAATTAAAAGTATACATTAGGTGAAACCTAGAACAAATCAAAATCCCTTCTATTAAGGACCGGAGGTTAGTAATTATTTCAATTTTCCGTAATACATATGTAATGCTTGTGTAAGAAGACATATAGCCATGTTTGGGAGTTTCGAACCCTATACGATAATTAAAATTAAGGAATATGATATATATAGTGAGAGGAATATGATATATATAGTGAATAAAAATAGTGACAAAACATAGTGATTGATGTGGATTAATTATGGCCCTTAATTTTTTTGCTACTTTCCCATTGAAGTTTTATTTTTCTCCCAAATTTATATTTTTACCCTTAATTAATAAATAGACATGTTTAGTAAGTGAATGGTGTATTTGTCTTTTCATTTGTCATTATATATTTTCACTGTACTTGGTCACTGGATGTACCATTGTTGTAAAATTAAATATGGTTTTTGTATTGCTTCAAGCTATAAACTCGCGTAAAAATTTGTTTTGATTCTCATCGCGTACGTCCCTCTATGATGATTTTGACATTTTCTAAGTCAATGTGTACGGTTCAACCTAGGTTAGCCGTAGAAAATGTGGAACAAATGTTTATAACATATCCATTAAAACAACAATCAACTAATGGAAAACGAAAAATTACTTAGTAGAAGTACTTAGCAGCATTGTCCATCCGGAGAAAATAAAAATTAAAAGGAAAAAAAAAACTTTTTAGTTCGATGTTGAAAAATAATTAATACTGAGAACTAGCCCCATAATTTTTTGAATCTCAAATATGCGTCACTGTCAATCTTGATGAGCACGATAAACATTACTTCTTCTAATACGGTTTATAAGTATACAACTTTAAAACTAAACTTACTTTAAAATTGTATCTTATAAAAATGACATGATCGATTGGAAACAAAGTTGTTCTTCTTTCGAGTAAGACCTACAAAAGAAATCCACAAAAGCTGGAGTAGTCGGTGTAATTGTCTCTCTATTGTTTATTTTATTTTTCTTTTCCCGTCTTCTCTGTGACTTTTGTTGGCTTTGATCCAATATAAATACTAAGATTTAGTTTTTATAAAACATTAATAGTCTTTTTTCTCCTGTTAAAGTTGGCTCATTAGTTAGAAACTATTACGTCCCTTTTTTAACAACCCAAAGGATTGGAGATTGTGGGCATACATAGCTTGGCAAAGGTTTCTTATATCAGTCAAGATATCAATTTCAACGGATAAATTTTAACCATTTCCTTTGATGTAGTAATATGAAGATTTTTGCGTACAAGGAAAGTATAGTACACCACAGAATAGAAACCTTCTTAAAATTGTGAGTTGAAAAAAAATTGGTATTGCATTGAAACGGAAGTAATAAGAAATACACTATAGTCAAGATAATATTTTTTCCGTCCTAAAAAAAAAAGTCTTATTGTTGTATAAATTTCTTTTAGTAAAATTAAAAAATTATTCTTATGTGGACAAAGAGAGACCGTGTATACATTTACCCAAAACATATAGAAGTTAAATTTAATCTTTCTACCGTGTTATTGTTGATTCCTTTATTTTTGGCAAGGAACTAAATCTTTGACAATTGTTCATTACGGCACTTTCAAGAAGACAACATTTTGGTGAATTTGCCTACTTTTATTTACTTAATTTCACACGAATGCGTATCCCTAGTTCAATCTGTGAAAGGGTAATACTAAGCGTAGCCCACTTGATGTTAGTGAAGCCTAAATTTTTACGATTTTATCCTTATTTAAACAAGTATAAAAATTAATTTCTCTTTATTATTTTAAAATTTACAACCTTCTAATTTTCATTAATATTCAACTCTTTATGTATTTTTTAAGAAATCATGGCAAATCGCCCCATAAAAGAAAGAAAAATCTTGCTACCGCAAGTATTTTTTTTAATTTTATTATTATATCTATTCATTATATTTGAAAAAAATAAATATAAAAAAGAGTGAAGGTCACGTTCTCACTGTGCGAACCGCCGGCAACGCAGCGCCTACCGACCGTAGGCAGCCCGACAGTGACCCGCACTTAGAGGGTGAGCAGCCAATCAGCCGCCTGCGTTAACCAGGCTAGCGGCCAACTGGCTGCCCAACCTCTCAGCGCGGGTCTCCATCAGGCTGACCACAGCCAGTAGAGTGAGGGTGTGACCTTCAATCTTTTTTTAATTTTTTTTTCAAATTTAATGTAATTATTTGTTTTATCTTCACCTTTTTAATAAAAATTACATTTTATGTAATTATTTATTTTATTTATGCGGTTAATTATATTTGTTTCTTATTACTTGATGTAATCTGCAATGATTTTTTTTGGTTTTTTTTATATTAAGTAATTGAATTTTTTTTGGTTAAGGTAAAGTTAATTTAGGCCAATTTAAATACTCATTTACTTAGGCAAAGTTAATTTGTTTTGGTTTTGTATAATTAATTTAGTTTGTTTAATGTTATCTATTATTGTTTAATAAGTAAAGTAAATTATAAAATTATACAAGTTAATTTTAATAATTATTGAATTTAATAATAATTCCGCTAATGTCAATTTCATTATTTTTTTAATTTAAAACTTATGGAATGTTAAAATGATGATTCTTTTATTAATAATAATAGAAAAGGGGCAAAATAATCATAAAGCGGGCTCCTCTAAAGATTAAGTGGGCTACATTTAGTCCCTCACCTTTGGAAAAGCAATCAAATCAGTTTGGTTTAGCAAATTTATTTGTTGTTACCCAATTGGGAAGAACTATTCCGAAGTTGATATTTTTTCCTTTTTGGGTGAAAGTTAAAAACAATTATTTACAGAGTCTATGGATGCTGACGGGACTTATACATCATCATTGCTTCTTCCCATGGGATAAAAAATTGAACAAAAAATAATTACATAATACTGCTAAAATTTAAAAGAATGATCACAAATAATGATGTCAACACAGAATATTAATAGTAAGATTCTCAAAATTAACCGAAAAATAATTTCCTAATTATTTTCATAACTCCGTTCAGTTAAAAAAACAAGTCAACCATCCTGAATGTCTAGTCTCTTTTCTTCTTTTTTTATTTTTACTTTTTTCATTTTCCCGTTAATTAAATTCAAAATATCACAAGACACGTAAGTATTAAATTCATATTCACTCGTCTGAAAATGATTGTCTAATTTATATTCTTATTTTTAATACAATCTAAAATAAAATGAAAATTTAAATTGATTAATAGATAAAATTCTCGAAACAAATAATTTCAGGTCGGACGAGAGTTTGCTTATAAAGCGAATGGTCAACTATACAAAATTTAAGGATGATTAAGGTCAACCTTGAAATTCCAAACTACCTAAGCTACACAGCCTATGGCATTTGGCAGGCTACAGATAGTTTTATACTTTTATTCTAGTCCTGATTGACAAAATTAAAGTCAACAGTTCTATTATTCTTTAACTCAAAACCGAATTAATTCTGCCCCTTATTTTCTCCCAGAAAATAAAACAGACTCACAGTCTACCTCAACTCCTCTAGTTTAATTTAATTTCTGTAATGAACCATTTTGTCTCTATAAAAATATTGGTCCGAGAGAGATAAATGATTCAGTAGTCATTGTCATAAACTAGTGAGGTTGAATAACTGCATAATAATTTCCAAAAAAAATAACTGCATAATAACCTCAAAAAATATACATGATTGAAAAAAACCACACATACACTAGAAAATTTGGAAGTGGCAGACATTAATAGATCTTTGGCGTTTCTGGCGATGGGATCACTGCGTCAACCGGACATTGAGAGGCAGCTGCTTTGTTTCCTAATAATTACTTTAAAAAGAAAGGACATTATGAACAAATTTTAGTGGACTAATTAAAAAATAATACTACTAACACTTTTATTTTCTCAAAAAATCATATAGATCAATTGTTATATAGAAAATATAGTAACAAAAATAAGTCTCTGATGGAGATATCCTTACAAAAAGGCAGGAAAATAAATTCTTTTAAATATAAGCTAATAACAATGACTAATTTACTATAAATATTTATAATGTCTATATAATGACTTTTCAGCTAGCGTACTGTCTTCTTCCCTAATTTTTTGTGAGTAATTAAAATAATACTACTAACATTTTTATTTTCTCGGAAGATCATATCACATCAATTGTTATATATTATTATAAATAATAATGACAAACAATATAGTCACTGATGGAGATATCCTTATAAAAAGGCAGGCAAATTAATTCTTTAAATTATAACCTAATAATAATGAATAATTTACTATAAAAATATATACTGTCTATATAATGACTTTTCAGCTAGCTTATTTTCTTCTTCCCTAATTTTATTTTTTAAAGAAATGAATTATTATTTATTTCTCCACAATTTTCTTTTTGTAAAGCCGTTTTCCATAAGAATAAATACAAAAAATAAAATAAAATAAAATAAAAATCCACATTCATAAATCTCCAACCCCGCCGCTTGAAATAGAGGGAAACCATCCCCACCTCCCCAAACTCAACCCACCCACGGTTACCCAAAAAAAAAAAAACCAATAATTTGGAAACTACAAAATCTTTCTATAAATACCCACTGATTCTCAACTTCCTTTTTTCCAATTCTTTAGTAAGTTCTGTCAGAATTGCTGATTGAATTAAAGGGTAACCCAAAAAAAAAATAGTAGAAGAAGAAGAATCCCATTTTGAGAGGCGGCGGAGACGGTGACGGCGGCAGCGGAGACCATGATTGCCTACTTGGAGAGAGTATCAATACCGGAACCAGAGCAACCGACCGGCAGTGGAAACGACGAAGTTTTGACGCTGAGAAACGGGTTGGAAGATTTGCAGCTTCAGGGGGGCGTGGAATTCGGCTCGACGGCGGCTTACGCCGGGAAGGACTTCGGCGGCATGCAGTTGACCAAGCCGTTGGCGGTGATAAAACCGACTGGGTCGGAGGACATAGCGAAGGTTATTAAGCTGGCGTCACGGTTCCCGAATCTGACGGTCGCCGCCCGGGGCAACGGGCATTCCGTCAACGGCCAGGCCATGGCCCACCACGGCCTCATTATCGACATGAAGAAATCATCAGTGGACAATTATGGCGGTAACAGTCAGGATGAGGTTGATGTGCACCCCCAATCGGGCTGCGCTGACGTGGCCGGTGGGGCATTGTGGGCTGACGTGTTGAAACGGTGCGTTCCGTACGGCCTGGCTCCCCGGTCGTGGACCGACTACCTCGATTTGACGGTCGGCGGCACCCTGTCTCAGGCCGGCGTCAGCGGCCAGAGCTTCCGGTACGGTCCCCAGTCGTCCAACGTGACGGAATTGGAAGTCGTCACCGGGACCGGCGAGATCGTGACGTGTTCGGGGAGTGAGAATCCGGAGGTTTTCTTCGGCGTTCTTGGTGGGCTCGGCCAGTTTGGTGTTATCACCCGTGCTCGAATCCTACTTCAGCCCTGCCCCAAAATGGTTGGTTCTCTTTAATAAATAAATCCTTTTTCTTTTTGGCGTTTGGAAAACATTTTCATTTTCCAATGATTTGTATTGTATTGCCCCTGTTTCCAGTGTGTGTGTGCGTGTTTTTTTTCTTTTTAATTTTTTAGTAATTTTTTGAGGTGAATTGTTGTTTTATTAAATGGGTGGAATTGGGTTTTTGTTAGGTAAGGTGGATAAGGGTGGTGTACAGTGAGTTCAGCGAGTTCGCTCGGGATGCCGAGTTTCTGGTGAGTTTGGAGAAGGAAGGTGACTCGTTCGATTACGTGGAAGGGTTCATGTTCGTGAACAGTGATGACCCGGTCAACGGTTGGCCATCGGTTCAGTTGGACCCGAACCACCCGTTTGAGCCTACTCGAATACCAAAGTGTGCTGGCCCGGTTCTGTATTGCCTTGAAGTCGTTTTGCACCACCGGGATTATGTCTTCCCCACCACCGTTGACACCGTAAGTAATCCTATCCTATAATTCAGTAATGGTACTATATTAATAAGCAGATATTTGTCCACTTTGTAATTTGTGTTGAAATTTTATTCGTTTCGGCCCAAAATACTGTGTTTTTTAGTTACGTCTCACAATGATGTGATGTTTGGATTTGCAAAATTGCAAACACATTTTTGTCAACCTAAGTTGTAATAGTTCCAATCATTAGAGTTCAATGTTGTAAGCCTCAAAACTTTGGGTTAACTTCTTTTGGTATTGGACGGGCCGGGTGGGTAGATGATGGATGTGTCGAAACAGGGGAGGAAAAACGTCGAGAGGAATGGGGGATGACCGGGATGAGTTTTGACCTAGGTGGATGCTAAAAGGGTCCCACAGGTAGGCTATGCTGTTGACCATGATTTCGTATACTGGGACCCCCGAGGAAGCCATAGCGCCGGACACAGTAAAGGTCAATGAGTTGTTTTGTTACTTAGGAGTACTAATTTATTTAAACTATAAAGGTAGAAAAAAAAAAAGGGTAAACAAAGAGAGAGGGGGAGAAAGGAAGAAATGTGGTGGTGAGCGGCGGGATTGAGAGAATTTGTTTTTCATTTTTTGATAAAATGGAAAATTTAGACGATAAGAGTTGAAAAGAGGGAGGGGTGAGTAAATGAGGTAAGGATCTGGATTTGGTGATTGAAAACTGACAATACGAGTAGGGTATTTCGGGGAGTAAAATCCGTATCTTCTTCCATTGGATTTTCATTTTCTGACGCCACTCTCCAACGTGTGGTAAAACTTGTCTCTGTCTCTCAGAATCTGCTTCTTTTACACAACTGCCCCCTAATTCTTTTTTAGCATTTGTTAGATTATAAGTTCATATAATATTTAATAATAATTTTAGGAACTGAAGATAAACTTAGTTAAATTGTTGTTGTTTAATAATCAAAAATTTTTGAAAGTAGAGCAGAGGAAATGGTGTTGTCAAAGTACAGAAACAAACAAACAGTAATGTTAGCATCAAGCGTGGGGTGTCCTATTGCTGATCAGTAGTACAAATAGAGATTTCACTGACGTTCACCGGTCCCCCCACCCTTCCACCACCGGTCACCACCACCTTCTTTTTCACAAATTGCCAACCTTATTTCATTAATACTTGTGCTACTCTGCTTCTCCCCCCCAAATCCATTACTGTACGTACCCAGCCCAAAAAAAAATCCCAGTGTTGTTAATTTTCCAAATCGCCAAGTATATTACTCTCTCTGTCCCAAAATTATTGTCCAGTTTGAGATTTCACTTTTAGTCATTTTGAACTAAAAATGAAAATCCAAACTGAACAATAATTATGAGACGGAGGGAGTACTTACTACGTGATACTGTGTGTGTGCGTGTTTATTTTTAACTATTTATATCTTCTTCTTCTTCTTCTTTTTTTTTTTTTTTTTTTTTGAATTGAGTAGGTGGTGGATAAATTGCTTGGACAGCTGGAATATTGCGAGGATTTGAAATTCCAATTGGACCTGAGCTACGTCGATTTTCTATCCCGTGTGAAGGTTGCAGAGAAAGAAGCCAAGGCCAGCGGCATTTGGGATGCGCCTCATCCCTGGCTGAATATGTTTGTCGCCAAATCCGACATGCCGGAATTTGATCGGTTAATATTCAATGACATTCTCCGGCACGGCGTCGGAGGCCCGATCTTGGTTTATCCCCTCAACCGCTCCAAGTAAGTATTATTATACTATTATTTTGTACAACACCAGTTTTACTTTTGTTTTTACATTTTAGTGTCACTTTGATATATATTCTCAAAATGCAAAATGCTAATTTTCTTTATTAGACTTTTCATGTACTACTAAAAAATTTCAATTCCTCCATAAAAACCACGTGGAAGCTCAACATTTAGCGAAGTTGGAAGCTTAACATATGCTTTGAAAGAGTTGACAAGTGGAATACCCCATGTGGCACTTTCACTTTTTTTTTCTCTCCAAAAAAAAAAAAAGGAATTTGGGACCATTTTAATACAATCAAGTAGTGTGTTCTTCTTGCTGCTGTTGTTGTTGTGTATCAATTTGTATCAATATCATCATCATGATGGATAATATGTGCTGACTATTTTTTGCTGAACATCTCTTTTAAATCGGGTGGTTAAGATTTTGTAGTTAGGTCACTCTTATTTATTTTATTAGTTTTTTTTTTTTTGGGTTATATATATTGTGGAGGGGTCCCCTGTTTTATTAAGTGTCATACTATCATTGCCTTACAACTTGTCCTTTTTATTATTTTTATTACTTTTCAAATTTCTGAATCTTTATTCTGGACCCCTCCAATTAGCAAGTCTTGCATCTTTTTGATTTTACGTTTAGCTGCATATTTTAGATCCATATGGACTAAAAACACCTTGTTTTAATTAGGATTAGTATTTACATTCGGACCAGTAATGGACTCATCAAATATAAAATAATATTTCAAGTGTACTAACTACTAAACTTGTCTGATGATGATAATAATAAAAAGTCTTGTTTATATTACTGGAACAATTATTTTTTAATATGTTTATTAGGAAATGAGTAAATGAATTTGTGTAGGGGAAGAAAGGAAAGATTTGGAGATTAGTACTTTAGGACAGAGATACCATTGGTCCCCCCCAAAATACGTAAATTTGTCGTCAGGAAAATTTTTTTTGGTACCGACAATATATACAGTATGTGTTGAGACTTGAAAGTACAATAATTCTCTCTGCGCATGATCTAATTGTCTCCTGTATGATTTTTTATTTTTATTTTTATTTTTATTTTTTTGAGTTGATGTTAAATTGTTAACCAAAAAATATGTTATCTTTAGAATTTAAATTTTGGAATTCATATACTTCTTTTAATTATTCTGCATAATAATACTTTCGTCTAATTTTAGGGTATTGTTTTTGGGTAGATAATGGGAGTAAAGTAATGTAACTTTCAGAGGTCCGTTGTTTTCTCATACAAAGACAATACAAGTATATTTATTAATTGGGGGAACCCCAATTATAGTGAATCCATCTTTTTTTTTTTTGTCTTTGCCCTTTATACTTTTTTTAGCTTTATATTTTCCCAAAAATAATTGATACCCACCTCCTATTCATTTCTATAAGTATAAGTAGGTAGGTCTATTTTTGGTGTTCATTTTCCCACCTTTTTATTCCCATTGATGTTACAAAGGTGGAAGAATGAGAATAAAATATAGGAGTACTACTTTTGTCCAAAGAAAAAAATAATATTCCAATTTCGAAAACTCATTTCTGAGCCGCTTTTATTCGTGATTATCTTTGGTAATTGAATTTTTACGATTTTCAATATTTGACACGAATTTTGAATCGATTCTTATGTAGGTGGAATAGCCGTACATCTGTGGTGTTGCCTGACGGAGGAGACGACGTCTTCTACTTGGTGGCGCTATTGAGGTGTACATCTCCATTCCCAAACAGCGGACTCTCGGTGGAGGAAATGATTGCCCAAAACCGTGAAATCCTGCAGTGTTGCAGAAGAAATGGAATCAATTACAAGCTGTATCTCCCTTCTTATAATTCCAGACAGGAATGGGAGCAACATTTCGGGAATCAATGGTCCAGATTTAAAGAGAGAAAAGCCAGTTTTGATCCGATGGCTATCCTTTCTCCTGGACAGAAGATTTTCACTAGGAACCAACAAGAAATTCAACCTTAGTGTGATGACTCATCATCACCAACCTATACCTATTAATTGCTCTGTTTTTTTTTCCCTTTTAAGTAATTTTTTTTATAAATATTTTCTTCCAATTTCATTGGTTCATTGCAGTTGATCAAGAAAGCAATTATGATCCGTTGTTAATAACCTATCATCATCAATGTAAATGGATATTGATATTGAGAAAAGGTTTAATTGCCATCTCGATTACATTTTTGTGTTCAAATTGCAAGCCATGAAAGGATAATTTCTCCAAGTTCAAACCAAAAAAAAAAAAAAAAAACTAGTATTTCTTAAGCATCGTGCATGAAGCTATATTATGGGGGAACAATTTGGCATTGAAGACTTTAATGATTGGTTTTGATGCCAGCTACATTCAGAAATTAAGCATGTCAAGCTTGTTAAAGATAATTATCAATAATAGAGTTGGAATCTAAGTTTTAGTGATAGAGATTTATTTTAGTGATAATTTCTAGTGAAAATGTATTAATTATCAAGAGTATTTTTTATCACTAAAGATATTTTTATCCAATAGTGTAGGTATGGCAATAAATATGTCATCTACCTTTATTTTGTATTTTAAGTCAATAACAACGTAGTTTTCAAATATTTTTATTTTTTCTCTTTTTTAGTTGTTTTTTTTTAAATTCTAGTTTTCTTCTTGGTATCAGAGCAGGTTCTTTCATGTTTCTGTTATTGTTTTTTTTCAAAAATAAATTATGATTTCATACTTCTGCTTTTCATTTTTTTTTGTTTTGTTCAAAGAAAAAATCATGATCCTGATTTCATAATCACGTTCATTCATGGATATTAGCATATGTGTATGTTTAAATTTCAAATTCATCCCAAATTCATGTCTTGTCTTCCTTCTCTACTATTAATCCAATACTTTCTCCCAAAAATATACACATACTATTGTTTCAATACTTCCTCCAAAAAATATCCACAATGGCTTAATAGTTTAGTCTTTGGATTTCAGTGTTAATTTTCATATTTAGAATGTGATTATCAACCAGAGAGCCATAGGCATAGAGTACTTTTTTTCTTTTTTCCCTGATAACCGATACCTCTTGTCACCAAGGAATTTCATCCCAAACTTTCAAATGATACACTACTAGCTAGCAAGCTTTACAACAAGAACTGGATCAGTTTCCCTAAAATTGTAACTAGAAGGGTTTATGCAGGAGGTTTTTTTTAATAATTGACTAGCAAAAGACATGACTGATTGTGATAGATCATGAACATTTTTGTGGAAGCAATCGAATAATTTTAGGAATTAATTAATTAATTAACTAGATAATTAGCTCCTCCAAATGACACCATCCACGAGTGTCAAAAGAATTCTTTCCATATCTGTTTAATTTGGTCAATACCTTCCTTTGATATTGTGCCGTCTTATAAATTTGTAAGGAGCCCTCTTTTTTTATGATTCTTTTGGAATATTATTATTCCACCAAAAAAAGCTCAAACAGATCAAATTTGGTAATTGGATTGTGCTAATTTGCTTAGTAGCAAAGTTCGATCATTCAAACATCAATGGGGATACCCAAGAAAGAAATCCAAACCTCAAAATACCCCACACCATCTTGCAGCCTTTTCCTGCCCTAATTCCAATTCAAAAGAGATCATGAAGGACATACACCACATGATGACTAGATGAAAAGATAAAGTAAAGGGTTGTGGTTATCATAAACTTTATGAAGGCATCAGATTCTCTCCTTCATGCAAAAGAGCCAAAACTCTAAAAGGGTTTCTAAGTTTTAGTTACCTTTCCAAAATAGATTTCATGTTTACTTTTGTTTGTGTTCAAATTGTCAAATTTCTCATCCTGAAACGATTAATTATCCAAATTCTATATTACTTTCAGTATAATATACGTGACAATCATTTTGTTTTAAAGAAATATTTCTAAAACAGAAACCGTTTTTAATCTGGAAAGTGTCGTTTCACACACATAAACTGAAAAAAAATTCAGCGACATTATTGAAATCTTGTCAAATTCTTGTGGTATAACGGGGGTGTTTTCTACAATGTCGAAAGAAATTTGTTTGTGCATTTGACGTGGAAAAGATTAGAAACGTCATTATATGAAACGCAAAGTTACATTAGTCAACAATCAATCGTCATTTTGTGATGTACGCACTTTGATTATTGCTTGAAGCTTGAACCTTGACCAGTGCAGATTTCTCTTTCTTTTCCTCTCTTGTTTTTTCCGCGCTTTCACTTTGACATGAAAAGCAGAGAAAAGGCTGAGAATATTTTGGTGGTTAAAAGGCAAAAAAAGCTAGTATAGGAGTAGCTTTTTCGAAAGGCAATGATAAGATCATGATAAATTCCTTGTAAAACGTACCCAATTAACCAATCAAAAATCTTCCTCTTCGTCTACTCCCATGCAAAAGTAGGGGATACGTCCCCCGGTAATTGTGTCATGCATGGACGTACATTGCTTTAAATATGTCTAATTTTGCTTTAAAAATTAAAATCTAGCGAGATTCTATGATGGACATAGAGGTGACAAAAATACCCAAACCCATTGGAATCCCAATAGGACTCATATTAAATGGATGGATAATTCCCGCTCATATTTTATTGGGCACATGTGGGTATGTGTTAATTATGGGTGGGTAAATATTGGGTTGGGTATGAGTCTCATTGGAACCTTTTGGGCATGGATTAAATTTTATTTCCCATTTTGCCCTTTCTTCTACTGCCGCACAACCACCTTCCTCCACCCCTACTTCCTTCTTTCTTCAATCACACGGTTACTAATTTACATCTTGTCTACTCCAAATTGCAACTCAAAAGGAGATATCTTATAAGCTAACGATGTTGATTGTTCAAATTTCTCTAAACCCAATAAGATCAAAACAACCCAATCGGCAGATTGAAATCCCATATTCAATAATTTCCTGCCCACTAAATACCCGTCCAATTCTTGCCCTACCCGCCTAATTTTCAGCTTAAGGTGGACAGAACTAGCTACATCAATCTCATCTTCGTTGTGCAACGATCCAATTTTTAAAATTCTCTTCATCCCATTACATTTGGTTTAATTAAAACAGTGCGTACATGATGGCGAAAAATTCAAATGAAACTGACAGATTATTAATACAATTAAACAGACTGGATTATTAAAATGGGACGTAACCAACGAAATAAAGAGGATTACAAAGAGTATCTGATGCATCGACAAGATTGAAGCCGTAGTTAAAAGTTAAAACACAATGTAAATAAGTGTTTCTCACAAACAAAACACTAGTTTAAGATTAATCGCGGAACCAGTAGTTTTGTACATTTGTTTGATGCTTTGAAGTTTGCGCTTAGGCGGGTTTGATTCGTAGAAGAGTTTGGATTTGATTTTGGATTTTTGGGGTACTTTTGCATGTGCTTTTAACGACTTCAGGATACGAATAAAATCCAATTGCTGTAAAGTTTTTGGACAGACCTATTTTTTGCAAAGTACGACATTGTGGTAACCCTAGCAAAAACCCAGAAGAATTTTGTCGAGCTTACATGCACTAAAGTACGTAGTAATGGATTCTTTCGTAAAACCCGCTGGAAAGTGGAAACAAAATTCAAAAAAAAGTAAGCAAGAAACAAAAAAAAACACAAAAATAAATTGTCCTTTGTAGTGGTTTGATTCTTTTACTAATTGCAATGTGATTTGATGTTGATTATTCTAGAACATACATACTCCTTGGCGTGGTCAGCAATTTTTAATGTTATATCTGCAAATGCGCGCTGGAATTGAAGGATACTATATCTAAAAGAATAATGATATACATATATATATATGTGGAATAATTTTACTAGGAAAATAGGAAGAAATTATGTTAATTAAATCATATCCATTCATTCTAACACTTTCTAAGCGAGATTTGTGCATTAAAGATTAAAGAAATACTTTAAATTTTAGACATATCATTTTTTTTTAATTTTCTTTCGGATTGGTGATACATTCAAGAAAAATTTGACAACAAAATTTACACAGGTTGAGGTGACTAAATGTGAACTATCCCTAACCTTTAAATGGATAAACCCCTCAAAGAAAGAGATAATTATAAAAAGATATGATTCATTACCTGTTAAAAAAAAATTCAGTAAAATTTCTCTGCAAGAATTATTATCCTTTCTTTATACGTATCATTACTCTATCCAAAATTTTGCCGAACCAAGAGAGATATTAATTGAAATTTTATATCTACAGGAAGAAAGTTGCTTGAATAGAATGTGGTCACACATGTTACATATCCCTTCAACATAATCATATGTAATTTCTAAAGCGTTTGTTTTTATCCTACCAAAAAAAGAGTAAGTTATTAAAATTTTAAAATTATTTCCTCATGGATATTTAAACCTTGTATGACTCTTCTGACTTAAAACCTTCAATTCTTAATATATATATATATATATATATATGTATATATATATATATATCATGTAAACATTTTTTTATGATTATTGATGGATGTAGAATGTAAAATAACTGGTATTAGCTCAAAAAAATAAATGAATTCTTTTGAAATCATATATCCTTGTCTTTTTGCTGAACGGAAAAGATATTGAAAGGCTACCTTTTCCTGCTTTTCAGGCAGAAAGGGAAGAAAACAAAAAAAAAAACAATGAACCACTACATAATTAGGATGTTGTTTCTTTCTGGTTCTTTTTGCAAACATGATGGCCAGCTACAAGTGCAATTTGATAGGATTCCGTTTTTGGGTTAAATATTTTTACATCAAAGTATACTATTATATATAAAGTCAAGTAATTGCATAATTGCTACTAATTTATACAGCTACAAGTCATTTGGTCCTTTCTTATTGAAAAACTATTCTACCAACAAAAAAAAGAAGCAAAAACCCACAACAATTCTTCAAAATACCGTACCACCACTTGAATTGATCTTGAATAAGGTCTCTATGACCCTCCTGGTATAATCTGTTACTAAGTGTTCAAATCTTGTAATATGTCCTTATTATAAGACATTTTAATTTGTCTAGAGATTCTTGTAGTATGTTCTTCCAATTGAAATTAAAATTTTAAAAATATTTTATCATGTTCTCCCAGGAATATTTTATAATATATGTATATATATATATATGGTACTTCATCACTAAAATATTACGCCCTTATTTTATTTGTAGCCTTATTATGCTATACTACAAAGTTAATGATCACCTCCAATTGGTTCCAAAACCTCTACATTGTTGGGATTAGTTACAC